AAGTCTTACATCAATCATTTGGCCTTCAACCTTAGATTTGAAAAACAGATTCAATTTGATTTGACAGATTTGAAAAAATTAGTGAATGGTCAATTAGAAAACAGGTATAGACCTCGAATGTATGTTCGATGTAATCTAAGTCTTTGAATTCCGAATCTTCGACGTAGTAAAGATTGGGGCCTCGTAGCCTGGTGGATAGCGTGCAGGGCTCGTAGTTCTCTGGCGCGGGTTCGATTCCCGCACGAGGCAGAAACAAATGGGCAAAGTTTCTTTCACCCTGAATGCCCCTGTTACCTAGCAGTAAAATAGGTACCTGGGTGTTAGTCAGCTGTCACGGGCTGCTTCCTGGGGGTGGAGGCCTGGTCGAGGACCGGGCCGCGGGGACACTAAAACCCCGAAATCATCTCAAGATAACCTGAAGATAGTAATATAAAACATTATGATGACTTTCATTAAACTATTATTCTTTTAAATCTGACTCATCTGGTGTCAAAATAACACCAATAATTAAACGAGGAACAATAAAAGAATTGGGGTAGTAACGCTAATATGGAAGTTTTTTTTAAATTTATGGATCTTTTTGTAAATTTTAAACTTTTTTATTTACGTGGTATATATTTTTTTCTCTTTATAAAAAATCTATAGAATCTTTCAATCTTTTATAAAATAAAAATATAATATAGTTCTCTTTTTTCATTTATAAGAAATGAGTAAATATTTATATATATATATATATATATATATATATATATATATATATATATATATATATATATATATATATATATATATATATATATATATATATATATATATATATATATATATATATATATATATATATATATATAGTATAATCTAACCATGACAAACCGACGGAGAGAAGTCTTACAAAATGAATGTGATGAAGATAAAGTGGGTGAAAGTGATAGAAATTGGCTACCATTACCACCTCATCCCAAGATAAATTATCTCGAGAAGCGTTATCAGTGTTCAGATTGTAATAAGAAATTCAGATGGCTAGACTCGTTGAAGAAACACTTAAAAATTCCCGAAAAGCCCTATCAATGTTCTAATTGCATGAAAATTTTTACACATAAACGTGCCTTGAAAACGCACTTGAAAAAAACATACAGGTAAAGATCTTTATAAATATTCTACGTGGAAGAAATTTTAATTATAAAATGTGCTTTAAGAGACATCTTAAAATACATTCAGGCAAAAAGCCTTATACGTGTCAAATATGTGTTAAAGGTTTCTTCCTTAAGATTTACTTGAACGATCATATTAATAATAAACATTTAGGCATAAAGCAATATAAATGAGGGAGAGAAGGGAAGTGTATAGGTTATTATTATTATAATTAGATGCATTCAGTTTTCGACAGGTCTTACTATGAAATAAAATAATGTGTTTAGTTAAAGACTAGCTCCAAGCATCTGACCTCCAACCATGGACAGACAGATTGACTCAACCTTAAAACAAAGAAATCACAATGATGTGATATATCAAAGAGAATATTGAAGGAGTTAAGGCATGAAATTAAGCCATTGTAAACAATATGTTATAACCACTAACTCTGACACCCGGGGTGACAGTTATTGGACTTGGAGGTTTTAATTTCATACATCTATCTGTTCACGATTTCAAACATTGTTCAATAGACGTTTCAAGTACAATATCTTTTAATTAATTCTTGTCTTTCAAAGTAAATATAACTTCAAACACGCACATATTTCAAAATAGTTCTTTATATTAATTATATTAATAAATATATAATATACATAATGTAAATATAATATATATAATAATAATATATCAATATATATATGCTTACCTAATGAAAGGGGTTAGAGTTTTCTAATATTTTCATATTTCAAAACTGATTCGATGGAATTTTTTATAATTCCCAAGGAAAAAATAACTATTTAAATGTATCTAACACAGAATATAGTGCCGATAGAACAAAATCTAGCACCGAGAACACAGATTTTTGTACCAAGTACACTGAAATTAGTACCGAGTTTGACAGTCAAAGAAACCAAAAAATAATGACATTTTAGAAAAGTAACTTTTTTGTAAGAATTTTTTTTAGATTTATAATATTTTATACACCAAAAAGACATGAAAAAAATAGAAAAAATCCTTTACTGCCACTTTTTATTGACTTTTATTACAATTTATTAACACAATTTTATGCAATAAGGAGTTATTATTGTTTAGGAGTAACTTGTTTTCATGATTTTTATATATTATTTTGAAATATTATTGTGAAGATAAAATTATGAAAGGTTTCTCCAGGTATATATAATATAAAATTATTTCCAGTTGATTAATTTTATGAAACAAATTGTATGTATTGTGAATGTTTTAAGAATTTATATATTTCTTATTTTATTTAAATTTTTGTATAGATTTTTACATAACAATACTTGAAGTCTATACTGGGGTCTTTAACTCGCAAAATATATTATTTGTGGGTAATAAAACCTCGAAAATATTTTTTGGGGATATTGTAAAATGCCCAAATTTATTTTTTGTAAAGATATTTCATATATTAAATTAAATAATTTGTTTTAAATAAAATGTAAAGTTTGTCACCTAAAAAACAAAGTATTTACTTTTGGTTTTTACTTAGCAAAAATATTTTTTGTGAAATAAGATCCCAAATTTATTTTTTGTAAATAATTTTGAATGTATTTTATAGAATCAATTATATAATTTTAAAAAGTTACCCTTGAATGTGCGATACAAAAGATAAAAAAACTATTAATGGGATTTGGTAATTATGTTTATGGAACATGTCGTAACAGCAGTTGGGGTTTAAATGATTTTTCGCACTTATCCAAACATGGTATGATAAAGGATATTGAAATGTATATGTATTTGATTATTATTATTATTAAATTTGTTTACAGATTTGTACATTATGTCGGCATTTGGGGGTACACCTTTGACCGTATCTCTGGCAAATACATCTGTGATTCATACACAGCAAGAGTTTACAATGACACACTAGAATCTTCCTATAGCGATTATCACTGAGAAAATAATTAGACTGTCTTCAAACGACTTCTCGAAGTCCTACTGTCTCACTCTTATTAGTTTGATTTGGTATAATTCTGTCTACACATTTATCGAAGTCAGTCCTAGAAAGATACTGATCGATGGTTCCAAATTTGGTGGCCACACGATATAAATCTCTCCGGTGATCAATTTCGATAACTATACCACTGATGGTACGCATCCCCATCTTCAATTCTCTGGCTGCTTTAGGGATTATGACATTAACTGCGTCGTATAAACTTATAGGTGTAACAACTGATGAAGACTGTGACAACATTTTAAAAGCGTTACTCCTCTGGCACTCCTTCACTCTACTTCTTATTTCTTTTACTGTTTGACATGCAAGTGATGGGGAGGATGGTTGTCGATGTCTGCATTAATATTGTTGCTAATTACGTCGGACTCCGAATCAGTATGAGATGGTGTGTCCCCTGAATTGTTCAATTGTCTAATTATTATCTTAGGTGATAACACTACAAGAGGAGACAACGGTGATGATGGTCGAAGATGAGGCTCTTGTGGTAGTGGAGATGATCACTTTCGCGCCCTGGGGTCGTAAATTTACGACCTATCCATTTCTATCGCTTCCACCCAAGAGTCGTAAATTTATGTTCCATTAAATAATAATTGTATAAAATCCACTTTAAATTCGATTTACTTTTGGTTTGTTTCAAAATGACCGTACCATGAAATTCCCGTTCTCTCGATTAGGCCGTGTGGCACGTCGGTCTACTGGGTCATGTGATCGGCCCATTGTTTTGTTGTCACGTGTAGTGGCCGGAGCTGTCTCCCCTCGCGCGCCAAACTTACTCGATTTTAAGCAGTTTTACCCCTTTCCGTGTGTATTTGACCAAATACATTCACTTACAATGGATCCTGCACAAGGCCCAAGCAGTGTTTCGCCAAAGGGAGCATCCAGTTCATTAACCGATGACAAAATAAGTGAGATCTACAGAAGGTACACTCAAGTGAAGCTAACTCCCACAAAGATTCCTGGCCTCTTGGATGCCTTATCGGAAGTTGATTATGAAGATGATATTGAGGGTATTGAACCTGATGCTGAAAATTTGGACGAAGATTGTGACCTTCGGGGACCTGGAGCGCATGGGGCAACAACGACTGAGGAAGATACTGAGGGCCTTACAGAGGAGGAGGAGGGGGCACCCACACCGCCGCCTCTCACTACAAGGCGCTCACGTGGTGTTTGTAGGCCCAAACAACAGCTAAGTACACGACATGTTTCTCGTATTCGGAAAATAACACCCATTATGGAAAGTAGCACTGATTCTAGCATTGCTTTATCAAGTGAGGAGGAGAGTGAGGAAGATGGACCAGCCGAGCCTCCTTGAAAGCATACACGTCCAGTACATACTCGCCAGCCTAGAGCTAGTGATGGCTGGACTCGTAGCAACAATCCCCCATTGTTTGATGATTTTACTGGAACCCCGGGGCTAAGGATTACCAAACCAACGAGTGGACTAGGATATATTCAGCTGTTTTTTATTCGTGCATTGATTGAGTTCTTGAAACAGGAAACAAATTTGTACGCCTCACAGATATTTCAGATGGCCAATGCAAATGTCGAAGATATTTGGAAACCAGTGAGGGTCAAAGAAATAGCCAGATATTTGGGACTGTGTATATTGATGGGAATAAACAGGCTCCCAACTATGAGGATGTACTGGCAAACAAGTAAACCATGGCATGCTCGGTTCTTCAACATGTTTATGACGACGAAACGCTTTCAGCGTATAGCCCAGTTTTTCCATACGTTCAATAACAATGCGGTTCCCTTGAACAATACTGACAAGTTGATAAAAATGAGACCAGTGATGGATTACTTGAAACAAAGGTTTGCAGAAGTTTACTGGCCAATGAAAGAGTTGTGTTTAGATAAAGGAACAATGGCATGGCGTGGCCGACTCTCGTTCAAGGTGTACAATCCAAACAAACCAGACAAATATGGCGTGAAATTATAAATGCTAGCTGAATCAACAACTGGCTACATTTGTGGTTTTGACGTGTATTCTGGTATTGGTAAAACGATACACGAAACAGTTACTGGATTGATTCGGCCACTAGTGAACAAAGGTCACCACCTGTATATGTATAACTACTACAACTCAGTTAGCCTGACAGAGAAGTTGCGAGAACTTGGGGTCTACACATGTGGCACAATTAGACTAATACGTGGCGCCCCAAAGAAACTGCAAAATATAGCCAAGGGTAAACTTCCAGTGGATACCACAGTATACCTCCGCAAAGTTAACACCTTCGTTCTACTGTGGAAAGACAAGCGAGTGGTCTCAATAATTACCAACCTCCACAATGCAGACACACAGCAAGTTCAACGAAGGAAACGAGTTCGTAGACGCGACGGAACAACAGCACTAGAACAGGTAACAGTGAACAAACCCATTGCAATTTGCGACTACAATAAGTTCATGAAAGGTGTGGACCACTTCGATCATATGGTGAAGCATTACCATTTCGCCAGGAAAAGTCACAAGTGGACTAAGAAAATAACGTTTTATTTTCTGCAAATGACTTTGCAGAATGCCTTTTCTTTGTACAAAAGCAGCACCAGTGACCGCAAGAAACTAACATTGCTTCAGTTTCACGAGGTGGCTATTTGGTCCTTATTGAAGTGGGACAAGGAAGAGTGGCCTGCAACAACTACAACATATACACACTTGGTGCAAGCTCCAGACCTAAATGATGACACAGGTCCTGCCTATGCTGCCGACAAGTCAACACCTGGACCGTCGGGTGTGAGGCGCCCTCTGTTTACGTCGACACCTCAAGCTGAAGCCTCCACTGAATCTGAACACGAGATTTCTGGTACAATGTCACTTGATGAGTTGAGACAGATGACTCAGAATCAAGTATCCAACCTACACTGAAAAAACAGGGACGTATTGTTGATTCAGAGCATCGTCTAAACTACAAGCTGAAACATGAAATTGTCAAACTGCCCAAACGTCGCAGGTGTCACGTGTGCGCAAAGTCAGATATAAGGAAGGAGACTGGAAAAGGATGCAAGACCTGCGATATTGGACTGTGTGTCATTCCGTGTTACACCAATTACCACCGAAAAAGGGTGTATTGGGTGGAGAAGAAGTAACCACCCGCAACAGCTTCACCCCACCTACGAACATCTGTTGAGCAACTTCAGAAATTTGTACCTAAAGGAGGTGGAGTGGAGAGAAAATGCTCAACTTATTTTTCTACAATCTTCTTACCCTTGGTAAGTACACATAATTGGCCTAAGTCGTTATAGTATTATAGTCTAATTTATTGCGACTAATTTCATACCTGAATGAACACTGTAGCACAAAAACTGCCGTAAGTAGACACGAAACTTCAGAAAGTTTTTTTTGGGTGTGGTGGGTGTCAGTATGAGTGTTCCAAGCGGGTTACATGTGGGTGACTATGGGCGTTGGTACAGGTATGGCTTCCCAAAATTTTTATTTTATATGCATATGTCTGTGTAGGGGATTATATTCCGAACACTATACAATACAAAAAAACAGTGTGCAACAAATATAGACTTGAAAAACATGTTTACAGTAAAAACTTTTCGTTGATGTTTGAAGCTCACGGATACGGACAAGCGTAGTATTTTATTGGCTGCAAATCTAACTTACGCTCTGTTGACAATTTTTACCTATGTTCTTATAGAACATTCTATGATTATGACGCCCTCTCCAGAGTCTACGAGGTAGAGACAGCTACTCCTACCTCTACACCAGCTACTTAAGTAACCTGACCCGTAAGAGCAGGCTTCGGGAGAGAGCTGTTACGATAATCTCCTTCAAGAGAGATTTGGCCTGCTCTTTCCTATCGCCATGTTACTTCAGTACATCTACAACATCTAGATACTACAAGCAAGTGTAGTACATATTTAGTCAAATACGTTTTGCCAGGTGCAAAAGTATCATCACACTTGCTCTCCACCTCTCCCCTCCCTCGTCACCGATCACCAAACTACCATTTCCAGCCAGCCCGCTTCTGATTGGTGACTCAACGTCTGCACCACTGCACCTTTACCACTCGGATGGTAAACTTGGTAAAACTCGGATAGTAAAAGTGATTCAAATAGCTTCGGCTATCACTTCCTTATGTCCGGTCGTGGTGGTCAAGCAGATTAAGGCGTCCTGTAGGTACCAGTTGCGTTGCTCCTGGGAGTATGGGTTCGAGTCACTTCTGGGGTGTGAGTTTTCAGTCGCATATAGTCCTGGGGACTATTCAGGCTTGTTCGCATTTGTGTTCCTCACGTGTGCCCCAAAGAATGAGGTGATTTGGTAAAATGCTATGCCCAAGATTACCATCCGAGTTGCCGGCGGGGAAGTGGTTCAAATAGCTTCGGCTACCACTTCCTTTTGTCCGGCCGTGATGGTCAAGCGGATTAAGGCGCCCTGTAGTTACCAGTTGCGTTGCTCCTGGGAGTATGGGTTCGAGTCACTTCTGGGGTGTGAGTTTTCAGTCATATATATATATATATATTGGTGTATACTGGCAGCAGGTTTTCTTTTAAACATGTCTCACTGAATATGACCGCATATTCTGTATTTACTATCTTCTGATTTAGGGCTTCTATCCCTCAAACTATTTTCTTAGCATCAGGGCTTAGCTGAAAGAGGAGTTCTCCAAAACTTATTTTCGTAATTTCAAGGTGAAGAAAAGAAGTGAATTACTATAGAATGTATTACACTTATTTATACAATTTGCACCACGTTTCGAACCTCCATGGTTCATTCTCAAGTAAAAAGAATTTACAGAATTGGTAGATTTTATACCCGCACTGGGTCAGGTGATAAGACAATAAAGGTGAAAACATTGGGGATACATAAGGGATAAATGGGGGTGGAACATAAGAACATAAGTATAGAGGTAACTGCAGAAGGCCTATTGGCCCATACGAGGCAGCTCCTATCTACATACAAAGATTAATCAGGTTTAATTGGCCTGTTATGTTGAACAGTGTCTTCTGTGTTGGCATCGATATATTCTGGTTTTGTCCTTACTCTCATGGTGCGTAGAGTAAATAATTCCGTGATTATATATATATATATATATATGTCGTACCTAGTAGCCAGAACTCACTTTTTGGCCAACTATTCAAGGCCCGATTTGCCTAATAAGCCAAGTTTTCCTGAATTAATATATTTTTTCTAATTTTTTTCTTATGAAATGATAAAGCTACCCATTTCATTATGTATGAGGTCATTTTTTTTTTATTGGAGTTAAAATTAACGTAGATATTTGACCGAACCTAACCAACCCTACCTAACCTAACCTAACCTATCTTTATAGGTTAGGTTTGGTTAGGTAGCCGAAAAAGTTAGGTTAGGTTAGGTTAGGTAGGTTAGGTAGTCGAAAAACAATTAATTCATGAAAACTTGGCTTATTAGGCAAATCGGGCCTTGAATAGTAGGCTGAGAAGTGAGTTCTGGCTACTAGGTACGACATATATATATATATATATATATATATATATATATATATATATATATATATATATATATATATATATATATATATATATATATATATATATATGTCGTACCTAGAAGCCAGAACGCACTTCTCGGCCTACTATGCAAGGCCCGATTTGCCTAATAAGCCAAGTTTTCCTGAATTAATATATTTTCTCTAATTTTTTCCTTATGAAAGGATAAAGCTACCTATTTAATTATGTATGAGGTCAATATTTTTTTATTGGAGTTAAAATTAACGTAGATATATGACCGAACCTAATCAACCCTACCTAACCTAACCTAACCTATCTTTATAGGTTAGGTTGGGTTAAGTAGCCGAAAAAGTTAGGTTAGGTTAGGTTAGGTAGGTTAGGTAGTCGAAAAAACATTAATTCATGAAAACTCGGCTTATTAGGCAAATCGGGCATTGCATAGTAGGCTGAGAAGTGCGTTCTGGCTACTAGGTACGACATATATATATATATATATATATATATATATATATATATATATATATATATATATATATATATATATATATATATATATATATATATATATATATATATGTATATATAAATATATATTTATGTATATATATATATATATATATATATATATATATATATATATATATATATATATATATATATATATAAATATATATATATATATATATATATATATATATATATATATATATATATATATATATATATATATATATATATATATATATCTATATATATTCTTGTCTTGTCCTTACTCTCATGGTGGGTAGAGTAAATAGTTCCGTGATTTGGGTGTTCATGGTAGGTCGCTCTATTCTTATGTGAATTGCCTCAAGAATTTGTAATCTTCTTGAATCTTGGGTTTTGTCTATTATGCAAGTATTCTTGTTCAACATTTCTCTTGTTAGAGTAATGTCATGGGCTTGTCTCATGTGATTCCTAGGGGCACCAGATTGAAGATGGCATGTCAAACGCCTCGTCAGCTTGGTCGACGTCATACCTATGTACTTACATTGAAGGTTACATCCTTCGTGGGGGCAAGTGTACATGTATACAACGCTTGACTGCTGTAGAGGGTTCTCCGTCGGCTTCGGGCTGTTTTTGATAAGGAGTTCGGAAGTCTTCTTGGTTTTGTAGAATATTATCAGGTTTATGTTTATGTTCCAAAACATAAACCTGATAATATTCTACAAAACCAAGAAGACTTCCGAACTCCTTATCAAAAACAGCCCGAAGCCGACGGAGAACCCTCTACAGCAGTCAAGCGTTGTATACATGTACACTTGCCCCCACGAAGGATGTAACCTTCAATGTAAGTACATAGGTATGACGTCGACCAAGCTGACGAGGCGTTTGACATGCCATCTTCAATCTGGTGCCCCTAGGAATCACATGAGACAAGCCCATGACATTACTCTAACAAGAGAAATGTTGAACAAGAATACTTGCATAATAGACAAAACCCAAGATTCAAGAACATTACATATA